TAAGTGAAATGGGGCGATAGTTAAGTGGGGAATTCTTGTCCCCTGATTTATAGATTGGAACAACCCTTCCCACCGTCCAGTCATGAGGTATGGTGCCTGTGGAAAGTGACTGAGAAAACAATAGACATAAATAAGCAGCACTGATATCTTTAGTATTTTTTAACACTTTTGAGTTTATGTTGTCTACTCCGGCTGAAGATGATAGTTTGAGATTGTCAATTAAAGAGGAAATACCATCAACATGGAAAGTTATAACTGGCATGGTATTAGGTGTGCTTGACGCTGTAGAAGGAAATGGTAAGCTAACTTCTTTGGTGAATACTGACGCGAAAGCTGCATTGAAAATGTTAGCGCACTCCACGTCGTCGACCGTTTCACCGTCTTCGTTAATTAGCGTGTTGCTGTTTATATCTCGAGGATTAATCACCTGCCAAAATTTCCTTGGATTGTTGACCAGCATCTTGGGTAGGTCTTCGTGAAAGTACGTTTTTTTTGCTTCCCGAACAGCTGACAAGTATGCGCGTTCCGCTGTGTAATATTTATCCCATGCGCATACATTTGTGGTACCTTTTGCTGCTCGGTATAAACGTTTCTTTTTGTTATCCAACCTTTTTAAAGAATTGCTGAACCATGGTTTTTCTGGTTGCGTTCCTATCGCTATCCTTGGGATGTATCTGTCTGCTAGGCTGTTAATTTTTTCTTTAAATATTTGCCAATTTGTATGGATAGTGCGTTTATTGAAAGACGTTTCAAATGAAACTAAAAACTCACACAGGTTATCGTACATAGCTTTGTAGTTTGCTTTCTTGTAAAGATGTATAGTTTTTTGTACTTTCAAGCGCGGAACTGCCCCAAAGTTAAAGGACGCGTGAATGACCTTATGATCACTGATTTCTTTTAGGTAGGCGATCGATGATAATTTGTCTGGTTGGTTTGTTAGTATTAAATCTAATACGTTAGCTGTGTTTTCCGTGATACGCGTTGGTTGAGACACTAGTTGACTAAGATTAAAATCAAGACAAACGTCAAGAAAGTTTTTTACCTCCGTCTCGTTTACTAAGTGGGGAGATAAGTTGTGCCAATTAATGTCTGGAAAATTGAAGTCTCCGAAAAGGAGAAGGCTAGCCTTGGTGTGCTTCGATGTTATTTCGAAGAGTGCATTGTTTAGCTCAATGGCAAAAGCTGGGCTACTGTGGGGGGGTCTATAGCAAACGCCCACAAGTACTGATTGTGGAGCGGCGTGACAATGAATGAAAAGTAGTTCTAAGTTCGACCTGATACTAAGAACAGAGCACGATAGTTCCTGGCTGGCAGCTATGAGGACACCTCCGCCTCGTGCATTCGGTCGGTCAGCACGAAACAGACTGAAATTAGGCAAATCTGTCAGTACTTCCGAATCTGAAATGTGGTCGCTAAGCCAAGTTTCGGTAAGAATTAACATGTTGCTTTTAGATGTCAGCACAAGGTTGGACACATGTTCACGTTTTGAAATGAAGCTGCGTATATTAGTGAAGATTACTGAGATGGGAAGACGTGACTTGCCTGTTGGTTTCGGACGACGGATTAATTTTGTCTCGATTTGTGGTTGCTATGCTTCTTTGACTGTTTGAGAAGCTTCATCGTATACGTACCGCTTTGGGCCCATGAACAGCGTTTTGAAACGCAAGGAATAGGGTGCAGATTTATCTTTAGCGAAGGCGACAAGGTGTTTACGGGCGTTCCTAACAGCTGGTGAAAAATCTTCTGCGACGCTAAAGTCAGTGCCTTTGAAGTTACGTCCTTTTGAAAGAACAGCTTCCTTCGTTTTATAAGACACAAATTTTACTATAATTGGGCGTTTGCGGTTACAGGAATGCCGACCAATTCGGTGTGCCCGCTCCATATCCTTGGGCTCAAGCTGTACCTTTAGGTAATCTGAGCAATGACGTAAAATAATTTTTTCAGAATCTGATGATGGCTCTGATGCAGACGGATCTGGAAGGCCGTAGAAAACCAAATTATTTCGCCTAGATCTGTTTTCAGCATCGTCTACACGCGCTTCCAGTTTATGGATCAGCTGCGCCGTACGTTCGCTGTCTGCCTGTATAGATTGCATGTCTCCTTGCAAGGCTATCACACTTTGGTAATTACCCTCGAGGTCCGTCAGCCTTTTACTTAACGTGTCCAGTAACGCGGTCGTAGCCATAGATTGGTTCTTTAGTTCCTGCATTTCAGCGATCATCTTAGCCTGACCAGCGGAAATCTTCTTCATTTCGGCAAGCAGCGCGGCATTATCTGGACCAGGATTGCTTTCAATATCACCGGAAAGCAATAATAGGGATCTAATCACGGAAAGACACTGAAAAACAATGGAAAAGCAGCACTGCGGGCTCGGTAGCTGCACAAGACAATAATTACTTGTTTTTTTAGCGAAAAGAGGATGAGATTTACAGACCTGCATGATGAACAGAAGCGGATAAGTGGACCGCATCATGGCAGTGCCAACGAGCCCACAGCGCGCGGGGGGTATTCGCTGCTCCTTTATAGGCCGCTGGCTGGCTGTTGACGATGGCGGTAGGGCGAATGGCATCTTGTCGAGGATCCATGCTTGGACTGGTGGCGCCATTGAACGGGACGATTGGTTGCCGATTCCGATTTGCAAATTGATGACACAGCTGGTGCACGGGTTCGCCTTGGCCAACGAAGCGCTCGTTGATTCCGCGGGAAAGGGCAGCAACATTCGCATGACGAAGGACGTCATAATCTGCATGATGAACAGAAGCGGATTAGTGGACCGCATCATGGCAGTGCCACCGAGCCCACAGCGCGCGGGGGGTATTCGCTGCTCCTTTATAGGCCGCTGGCTGGCTGTTGACGATGGCGGTAGGGCGAATGGCATCTTGTCGAGGATCCATGCTTGGACTGGTGGCGCCATTGAACGGGACGATTGGTTGCCGATTCCGATTTGCAAATTGATGACACAGCTGGTGCACGGGTTCGCCTTGGCCAACGAAGCGCTCGTTGATTCCGCGGGAAAGGGCAGCAACATTCGCATGACGAAGGACGTCATAATCTGCATGATGAACAGAAGCGGATTAGTGGACCGCATCATGGCAGTGCCACCGAGCCCACAGCGCGCGGGGGGTATTCGCTGCTCCTTTATAGGCCGCTGGCTGGCTGTTGACGATGGCGGTAGGGCGAATGGCATCTTGTCGAGGATCCATGCTTGGACTGGTGGCGCCATTGAACGGGACGATTGGTTGCCGATTCCGATTTGCAAATTGATGACACAGCTGGTGCACGGGTTCGCCTTGGCCAACGAAGCGCTCGTTGATTCCGCGGGAAAGGGCAGCAACATTCGCATGACGAAGGACGTCATAATCTGCATGATGAACAGAAGCGGATTAGTGGACCGCATCATGGCAGTGCCACCGAGCCCACCATACCATGCTTATACCATGCATACCATGCATGATACCATGATAGTTATACCATGCATATCCAACTAGCCCAACTTTCGATTCTGTTGCATCTCATAAGACATTTCCACTGGATTTCCTTTTAGTTTTGTGAGTGAATAGAATTCTTTTCTCTAACTCGAAGAATAAAAACTGAAGGCCTTATATAATTAATAGGATTCCAAACTCAACGATTCCCAAACTTCGATGTCCCTTTCTAGTTCCTCCCCGTTTCTTAAATTTCAATCTCATCAATCAAGTTGTAAGTACAATTTGTTGAGTTTACTGATCTTCGATGACCTGAGTGAAACTACTATGTCCCTTTCTTTGAAGACTTGTTTATTGTCTGTAGACAATGATCTCCACATAACTTGGAGCCGCCTCACGCTCTCATCTTTTGTTGTTTCCAACTCCCTCACACTTGTGGGTCCACTGTGTTTATGCATCAAGATCAGCAATTTCGACATTGAACTAGCTACTTCAAGGATAGGGCCTTCCCATTTTTTCCATGAAAAGGCCCCAGCCCCCCATTTCACAATCCTTAAATCCACTATCACCATGTAAGCACAGTAGATCTAAAAGTGACCTGCCAATAGCTTCGAGGGCTAGGCTTGCAGGACTGGCGTCATTGCAGCACAGGTTCAACGTCTTTTGCAAACGCCAATGTTGCTGGTTTAATAATCCAGCAGACGGGCAGACATACCATTAACTTCTCCGAAGGCTGGCCTGACAGGATGCAATTCTCCTTCCTTTGGAGTCATAGTTCTAAGTGTTGCCACCAAGTGTAAAGAACGAAGACCAATGGCATGACTGTGATCTTCACCTTTATTCCCACACTAATCTTTTTGATGATAGTAGGTGTGCAATGTGTGACGGTCATCGCCTTCGCATTTTCAACACACTAATCTTAAATTCCCTACTCTGTCAAGAACACAAGGGAAAAATTTGGGATGTGTAACTATCAAATGTTCAACCTGAACGTGAGTTTAGGAAAGTAAAGCAAAGGGTGAACAGAATAGTTAGATTACCAGGCTTTGGAGACTGTGCACTTGACACAATCGTTTGGTGGAGGCAGAGGTGTCTTGCTATACCTGAATATAAAATATGCGAACAAATTCAGCTGTGAAAAAAAAAAGGCTAATTATGAAAACATACTCCTATTTCTACAGAACCGAGTCACTATTAAAGTGGCCACCAATAGCAACTATGAAAGAATAAATCATAATTTCATCCGTGGTATTTATTAATGGCATTTATTAGGGTATGGGGAGCATGGTCCCTTTTTTTGTCCTGTGTCTCACATATTTTATGCGCTACGTCTTTAGTTATGTATTTATGCATGTATTATTATGAGGTCCACAACAGCGATGGCCTTCAACATTAAAGATTGCATCCAAATGCAACGATTCTAATATTTTGGTCAGGCGGATCTAGAGGCATCATGAATATCTCCAATCCCTTCCCCATTTTTTTGTGCTGAAGATACATCAGAGTAAATAGGGAATCCAGAAGTTCTGCTGTGTTCTGAAAAAAGCTGTTCCATGGAATCTAAGCAAGGCATACCTTTGGCGCTGAGCCTCCAGGGTGGCCAGAGCTGCAGGAAGATCAGTCGGTTCCTCCTCTGGCTCGGCTTCGGGCTCCTGCTGTAAGAAAATGGCATGGTGAAGTTCCAACATTTAACTGCAATTTCCAATTATTTTGTCAGAAGACAAGCCAGAGCAGTGGAGCATTATTCAGAAGTAGATGTAACACTGCATGTACATACGCTTTCTCCAATACGAGCATGTTGTACATTTGCACACAAAGCTAAGACAAAATAGGATTTTGGCAGGAAGCGATGATGTGCAAATGTGCAATAGATTATTTCATCGCAGTAAAAAATGCACATATAATGTGACAGCAAGAAAACTAAATTTATGTACTGAAATGTATATGAAGCAAGCCTTTAGTGAAACAGTAATTAGATGAAATATGAATGCAAGCAATGCATGAAATAATGCTTAGATTTGGGTCTGCATTGTAAAACCCTGATAATCCCAATTAAAAATCAGTTAATTAAAAAAAAAATTTTAGTTGACTTGATATGTTTTCAATGTTTTTAAAACCGCTTACTACAAACTTCTTATTTTTGGTTGTCTCTTTATGTTTTAAATGTATTTTAGAGCTGTTTAATTAAACTGCTTATTTTTGGTTATCTCGCTATGCTTTCAAGCTCTTTGACCCTAACTGCTGCATAACGTAAATTCAGTTATTTTATAGCTTTTGCTTGTTAGTGCCTGAAAATATCTGCTGCAATTTTATGTCATCAGCAGCCCCAAATAGTCAACTGCTGCCTATGAATCAGCGACACTGCACGCACCAAAATTCACAGAAGAACTAATAAAAACGCCACCACATTTCCAACTTGCGGCAATGATTGAACCACGAAGCGCAAAGGGGCAGCCTCGGTGTCTATCCCTGGTCACAGAGGCACTGCGCTCAGTGCAAATGAATGACCAGCCAAGCTATATAGTACATATGGCACAAAGATGACATTAAATGTTGATAAGAGATACAGAAAGGCTAAGAATTTTCCTGAAAGGTACAGAAGGTCCCTTATGAGTGCAGCATTAGGTTTTGTTTAAAATTTTTCATTTGAGTAGCATGCACCTTTTCGCATCGTCTTATTTGGCTTGCCCTATGCTCCTTCATGATCTGGAGAAGGAGCCATTTTAGCAGCACTGTGCTGCATTCTGCAACACTTTGGTGAACCAGTGATAGACTTTTTTCAGTTTTCTGGCACACGTTAGTAACAACCTGCCTACGAACATCTGTTTCGTCAGCAACATGTAACTCCCCCTCCACTATCTTCACTCGAGATTTTTAGGAGTCGGTCATGCTTGCAGCAACATTACAGTATAAACAAACTGGGCTGTGAATCTACACACTGCCATATTGCAGATTTGCTCTCAGACAGGAAAGTGATCTTAAAGACGAAGCTACGAAGCCCTTGCTACTGGCTGGATATCAAACCCTGCAGAGTGCAATGTTGTCCCCTTACTTGTTTAACATTGCCCTATGTGGCCTTTTTCCCCTCCTCAACAGCATCTCGGGGATTAAGACAACATTAGTTCAATTTAATGTTTATTTGTCCTTCAAAGAAAGATAGGAGCTGCCCCAAAAGCTACCGCCATGAGAAGTTTCATCAGGTGACAGCCCCCTTAGAATGACAGCAGCAGACCGTTTGAAGGAAAAATAAATATTAATAAAAAGAAACAGATTGAACAAGGTATTCACAATCATGGTCGTCGATTGGAAAGGCGAAACAAGAGTATCGCCAAGTATTCGATGTGAGCACGCGCAAGAAGCAGAGGAAGTAGAGGTGGCACTCGCGCTCACGCATTCGTCATGCACTACTGTCCCGTGGGACTCGAGAGAAGTGGTAAGGAACTTCCCCAAAGGTTGGATCTCGCAACAAGCAGTCAAAGTCCTGCGCAATAGAAAACTCTATCAGGAGGCAGAGCTTCAAACTAGGCTCCTGTGGTTCTCGGCTCACATAAGAGAGGTATCGAAGACACACCGCAACTTAACGAGACGGCACACGCCACGGCGCACGGACTCTTGAGCCGCGCCGGCAACCGCCCTCTATGGGAAAACACCAAAGACCGTTTGACGACCTATAACGAAATTACGAAGGCTTTCTGCCTGGCCCACCGAACCTTTCCTCCACCCAGCGAGAACCTGAACAGGATGCAGGCGACGGCCCTACAACAGTTGCAGACGCACACGTATGCCAACTCGTCACTGTTTAACAGACTATACCCCAATATATATCGGACAAATATATACAAGATGTGCCATATTGAGGTAGCCACATTAAATCACATGCTCTGGGATTGGGCCAAAAGTCCGCAAAGTGCTAAATCCGGAACCCTCCCGCCGTGGTGGGCCGCTGCCCTGTGCAGCCCCAGCCTCAGCGACCAACTCTGGGCCGTCCAGCAGGCCCGCGACGCGGTGGTCAAGCAAGGTCTTAACGTCCCCACGCGGGAGACCTAAGGCCCGGTTGACGAAAGCTCTGCCGGACTACTAATTAGTTGTTACCAACCAACCAATTGAACAAGGTACATAATATGACGAAAGTTCCCAAAACCCTTCCTTGGGGCCTGCCAGATTTAGGCCTTTTTTGGACTGATCATTCCATTTGCAAACCAGAATCTGAGTTCAAGATTGTAAACAAGATAACTACGGAAAACGGCTCACAACCCAATTGCCTTAAAGCCTTAAATTTTCCACTTTCTGTATGAATCATGTAGCTAAGTAAGTATTTCAAAGAAATTTTGAAAATGAACCGTGTGGTAATTTTTAACTGTAGAAGTCTGCTAGTACAATAAAAGCTTCTTAATACGACACACATTAGTTCGGAAATTTGGATAAATGTCTGGCCCGGCCAGCGTACGTATTGTTTTGGCATCGTAACCCTCGTTTATTCGGTGAAATTTGGATGCAACCCAGTTGATTCAGACTTTCCTCGAAGCGCACCAAGCGTGAAGCATGCAAATATGCAATGCAAATGTAAAAAAACAACATTCGCCAACAGCCTGAAATTGGTGCGGACTTTCAGAAAGCAGTAGTCACCACCCAAAATCGCATTCTTGGTACATAACAAGGTATTTAATAAGAGGACACTTGGGATTGAAACAAAGGGGTCTTGAGCTGCATTCACATTGTGAATGAAGTCACAAATTAGGAAAACTGTGGATTTTGCAGTTTTTTATGCAGCAACAACAAAAAAGCAACTTTGTAGCTATGATGATGCTAAGCCTGAGAAAAGTGGGGACTTAGGCAGCTTTCTTTGTATCTTTCGTCCCTTCTTTGTTATTCTGTTGTTTTTCTCTATTAATTTTTTTTATCTTGATTTCTCTTTCTAGCTTTCTACTTTTCTTCCCACTTTTTCCATTTCGCTCTCTGGTTTGTGCTTGTTTAGCTGCTGACATGGCATAGCATTTCCAGATGAAGAATAGGGTAGCGCGTAGAATTGAAGAAGCAAGTAATTTTTGCGTCACGAAACCCACCATTACATTACTTGCCACAGATTTGGACTTCTCAGAAGCACTCTTAAACTGATTTTTGTTTGATCATGTCTTTTTAAAGCACGTTCAATTATACACAAGCATATTAATTTTTTCAATAAATTCTGAGTTCATAGTTTGCGCTTTGTCCACGTTACTTTCTCGTGTGTTATTGTTCTTTTGAGCACCGTCTCACTAAGATGATTCTTCCCTAATGGCAGAAAAAAAAAGTGTGTTTTGTGAAATCCTCTGTGCGATATGCAATGTCACAAATCTGCAAAAACTTGTTGAGTTAAAGTTACGTGTGCACAATAAACAGTGCATTACTGTGGCGAAGTTTTTTCGGCAATGCCGGACAGTGTCTTTTTCAGCTGCCAGCGATCAGTCTGGCAGTGGCTTTTATTGCAGTTGACGACATAAATTCATGTGCCATTAATAAATACATTCAATTGTATTAAAACTATGTTGAGTCCCTTATGTGCATGCACGCCTCTTTGAGAACTATTTGCGGATAGGGAGAAATAAACAAAATAAGAGACAGATGAGAGCCTTCGCAGGTGGGTAGTCTTCTTAGTCCAGAAAACTGTGGGCTATCTCCCTGCTAAGGTCGATCAAGTTGCGAGGCAAGCCTCAAAGCTGGACTTCCCTATGTGCTTGAGTCGACTGCCTTACCTATCACATTTTTGCAAGCCAACACGATTGTTTCAAAATACCATAGTATGAGTAAGGCGACGCTGGTAAATTGGAGACTAAAGTACAATCAATTTTTAGTTCTTCCAACTCGAGCCCCTTCAAAAACACTTCTACGCCCTCGTCGACTCACCGTAGCCGAGAGAGAGAGCAGCCGTGATTCCACTCGTTTTCTAAAGAATATAATGATTTTTTAAGGGTGGGAACAGTGCCCGATCGGTCCATGAAGCGTTTACTATTTGGTTCCCGCCTGCACCTGCGTCACTTGTGATGTAAACTTCAGGCCAAGCAAACTTAAATAAAGACACTACAGAGTGGTCTAATGCTCTAGCGCCCCTGCTGAGTGTAGCTTCCTCTGCAATGTTCGAGTGCAAGGTGGGAACACGTTGCATAAGCGGCCCTCAATGCAAAAAAGCCAATATTTCATGGTCGCAAAATGCCACAAAGAACCTTCTCAGTAGAAAACTAGGGGAAAAGTTAATAAATCCCATTTTATATAATTATGTGACTGCTGCGTTGAATGAAAATTTTCCCCCAGTTCGTTTCTCACAGGGCAGTCGCGAATTACCACTGCCGAGACTGGCAAGGCGCAGCCCCCGAGCTATTCCCAGTGTAAGAAGCCAGCACTCCCCTTGTCCTTGGGAAAATACGCCTATGATTCTCGCTTCTGATCAATATCAAAATGGTGTATTAACACTTAAAATGACACAAACATTTAAATTGACAAACAGGTGAAAACGGCCCGTCAAGTTTCCATACAAGCAGTGCGAGCAGCGGATGCATAAAGAGTATATTACAGTAGTTCACCACACTAAGCAATGCTTTCACGGTCTTGTAACCTTGAAAAAATTTCTTTGTACAAAGTATAAGCAACTACTACTGGAGTGGTGACAAAATACAAACAC